AAGATTATCGATTGTGAAAAGAATTCTACCATCAAATTAGAAGAAAAACTATGTAAAATACTAAAGAATGATTACGTGAATTTACAGAAAAACTATGCAAAATATTGCAAGAAGTAAAACGTGATAACAATTAGAGTGAAATTGAAAGAAAGTTTCTTAGAAAGACTGAAAAAAACAATAGTGAAAATTCTTTCTGAAAAAAAATTGAAAGGAAGTTTCTTAGAAAGACTGAAAAAACAATAGTGAAAATTCTTTCTGAAAAAAAATATGCAAGACTATCGATTGTGAAAATAATTCTACCAACAAATTACGATCTACTATCAATTGGTACACTATGCAAAATACTGCAAAAAGTAAAACGTGAAGACAATAATAGTGAAATTGAAAGGAAGTTTCTTAGAAAGACTGAAAAACAATATTGAAAATTCTTTCTGAAAAAAATGCATGTGTAAAGATTGTGAATTCCCTATGATTCACTGGAAAGGATTGAAGACAAATAAAAAGTTTACTGTTTACAGTCCGGGAAATCCGCGACGGTCTCGAAGGCGCGAGATTAGATTGCATCATTTCGTGCGATTCCGTGCGATGTCGTTTGACTTTTACGTTAAAACACGTCCTCTTCTTCTTCGTCGTTGGCGCTCACTCTAAATTTAGAGTACGCGTGCAGTTTGTAAACGTCGCAGGTCCGGATGAAATTAACAAATTAAAATCCACTCGTTCTGCGGGCCAATCAAAACGCGTTCTTCCTTCTATTTCGGTGCGTTCCGTAACAAAGTTCGTCTGTTTTGTTTGCTATTATTATTGTTGATAAACATTTTTCTGCTGAAATTCATCTCTCGAACAGTTGTGCTGTGGTCGTGCTGCAGTGCGTTTCGAGTGCATACAAGAATACACCAGTAACCTTAACATAATTCTGGTAGAAAAAAAACACGGATCAAAAGGACAGCAGACACGGATTCTTATCGTACGGATAAACTGGTAAGTGGATTTTCCGATGCTTCCAGAACAAACTTCAACTTATAAATAAGCTTGCTTTTCTGTGCCAAAGAAAACACATACATTTTTTTTTGTACATTGAATTCTTGTACATACAAAAATACGTTGCAACTGCATTTTTATTATTGACGCTATACAACTTTACGCGCTTTATAGGAACACCTTGAACTGCGTTCGACCTTTGAATATCGATGAATCAGAGTTTTTTTTTCAGGTACAATTTTAAAAACACATCATTTCAAAAAGTTATTACACTTTACTTTTAAGTTCATCACGAACTTAATCACAATTTTATTACCTTTTTATGCATTGATTGTAAATACGACGAAATATAATAAAAAAAATGAAAATGAAAAAAAACTTATTTTTTTTGTCCTTCAAAGAACTTTTTTATTTGGAAAATTATAAACTTTAAATGAATTTGCAACTATTTCCACCGAAATCTTCAAAATTTCAAAATTACGTTAATTTCTTTGAAAATCAATTTTTTTCAGGTACAATTTTAAAAACACATCATTTCAAAAAGTTATTTCTCATTACTTTTAAGTTCATCACGAACTTAATCACGATTTTATTACCTTTTTTATGTATTAATTGTAAATACTACGAAATATAATAAAAAAATGGAAAATGGAAAAAAAAAACTTATTTTTTCGTCCTTCAAAGGACTTTTTTATTTGGAAAATTATATTAAATGAATTTGCAACTATTTCCACCGAAATCTTCAAAATTTCTAAGTTACGTTAATTTCTTTGAAAATCAATTGTCTGCAATGAAAATTTCAGATTTTTTTTCCTATTACAAAAATTAAATTTGTCATATTTTTTTTTACTAACTTAAATGATGAACTTTTACGTTTTAATGTCTTGAAAACATATTATTTCAGTTTGGAACGACGCGATAAACGAGATAATTCGGTCAAGTATTAATATTTTTTTCTTTTACATCTCGTGTCAAAATAAGGTCAAATGTGCGAAGATATTGGAAGCACAGTTTGTAAATAAATGCATCTGCTTTCGATCATTTCTCCACATGATTTAAGTTTATTTAATATTTTCACAATTCGAGAGGCGTTCAAATTATGTTTATAGTCTCGAATTACAAACTATCCGTTTCAGCGCTTTCGAAAAAAACACGAAAATGAATTGATAATTCCATATAAATAATAATGATGTAACATAATATGCATTTTACACATATCAATCGTTTCCAGTCAACAAAACAACAATTATCCATAGAATAACAGGTTTTATTCTTTATAAGTAACAAATACAAGTTTTTTTTTTAATTATATCTAGAAACTAATGTAATTATGATTGAAAAATATGAATTTTCTTTAATTATTTTATTAATTAATTTTGCTTATTTTTTACACAGTAAGGTAAGTAATTTGTTCTGATTTTCAACGATGTATTTTTCTTGAATATTAACAAATTAATTAACGCAATTTTATACTATTAATTGATTAGTATTAATTATTTAATGTAAAACACTTTTAATTACTTGATTTTAATTTATTAACAATCATTTGGAAAATTCCATACGTTTTCCTTCATTTTCTGCTAATGAAATGAACATTTAATTATAGTTATTTAAATACATTAAAAATTAACTCTTTTTGTTGGTTTTGGGAAACACTCTTATCAATCTTTAGTTTTCTTATGAATTGCACAAATTAATTTGATATTTCTTGTGAAAAAAGGTTTATGAAACGTTACTATTTTTTTGTATTTTAATGAAACATTTATTGTTTCATTCTTGCCATATTTTTACATAAAAAAAAAGCTACATTTATATAATGGATATAAATCCAACTCGAGTCGAACGCCATCTCGTGGGTAAATATAATAGTTAATAGACAATTAATTTGACAGAACATGATTTGACAGCTGTCATTTGACGTCCCAAGAGCATAGTTAATATGATGTTGCAAGTGTGGAGAGATTATTTGAAGGATAGAAATTGGTTCTTCGTCGCGAAAGATGTGAGGCATGCGAAAATGCGTAGATTCTGAGATCAGTGCAAGGACAAGCGTTGTTGGGAATGCATTAGCGTTTTCTGTGCACTTGTGAAAGAAGGGATGACTTGTTGCTTCGAGATCGTTTCTGAAGGGGAATAGACGTGCAACTTGCGACGTTCTTCATTGTCAAACTGGACTATTGCGATTATACAATAGTTTGCAATTCGTTATTATCCTTCCTTTTAATAATCGTATCGTACGTGAGGTTTCTCTACTTCACCCATTTCAACAGCGTATGGTACTACTATTACCTGATCGACATCATCTCTCTAATAGCTCTACTCTATAAGCACGGAAAGGTTTATTATAAACAATAACACCTTCATTCACTGCTCCATCAATGTCTCCGACGACGAACAAATCTGATTAATTTCTCTTGATCTCTTATAGATGGTTATATTTTCTTATTACTTTAATTTATTTATTCAATTAAATAAAATATATATTACAGCAATTTTTACTCTATTCCCACTGTAGATATAGAACAATACCAATTTAATAAAATATAAAATAACGCCATCTCGTGAGTAAATTTGAAATATTACAGATACCAGCAAATATGATACGAGCAAAAAAATATGAATACTTTTATATATTACGTAAGAGTAGATATACCAAAAGTTGTGCAATATAAGACTTCTAATAGATAAAATGGTTGATAGTTGGGATAATAATATTCGAAGAAAATAACTCATTTTTGTAGATAATATGGAAATTGTTCTTCATTGTCAAACTGGACTATTGCGATTATACAATAGTTTACAACTCGTTATTATCCTTCCTCTCAACAATCGTATCGTACGTGATGTTTCTCTACTTCACCCATTTCAACAGCGTATGGTACTACTATTACCTGATCGACATCATCTCTCTAATAGCTCTACTCTATAAGCACGGAAAGGTTTATTATAAACGAGCCGCATTTGATCAATACTATGAGAATGGGATCGGTTTTGAGTTGTACATTTTCTTCGGATTTCCTTACTTTCTGATCACAGGATACATGTCTTCATTCCACACCGATTCTACCTTCAACACTTGCTTCAATAACACCTTCAGCACTGCTACATCAATGTCTCCGACGACGAACAAATCGTATCAAGTTCTCTTGATCTCTTATAGATTGTTATATTTTCTTATTACTTTTGTTGATTTATTCAATTAAATAAAATATATATTACAGCAATTTCTACTCTATTCCCACTGTAGATATAGAAAAATACCAATTTAATAAAATATAAAATAACGCCATCTCGTGAGTAAATTTGAAATATAACAGATACCAACAAATATGATACGAGCAAAAAAAATATGAATATTTCCATATATTACGTATGAGCAGATATACCAAAAGTTGCGCAATATAAGACTACTAGTATATAAAAAGGTTGATAGATAATAATATTCGAAGAAAATCACTCATTTTTGTAGATAATATGGAAATATTGTGTCTGATTTAGTGCTTAATCACTGCAAGATGGATTCACACTAGATAGTTTTAGTAGAGAATAATGGATGCATACACAACAATGAGTATTTAGATGAAGGATAGAATGTAGTATGGAGATTACAACTGGATTCCATTTGTTTTTGCAGGGAGTTTGGTGTGAGACTGAATATAACAGAGAAGGATGGACGTTGAAATGCAAAATGCGACATTTAACGGGACGGACGATGATGCTTTCGAACGTCCCCTATACGAGCACCTCCACTTGGGCTTAATGCTAATCACGACATTAGTGGGGATCGTCTGCCACGTCATAATCATCTATTTAATCGTGATGATGCGAAAACTGCACAGTCGCACCTACATGCTAATCTTGAACTGGTCCATCCATGATCTTCTAGTCAACATTACTGTGATGATGAGTGGTCTGACTTTCTGGTATCCATCGTTACCACAAATGAGGTGCGTCGACTCTCACCTCCAACCAATACTGATATTCAACGCAACTCTAATAATAGCCGTCCTCAACTGCAACACTCTGATGAAGTCCTCAGTGAAATGGAATAAGATCCTCTGCGGATGCGTGTACGGAATAGTGATTTTGATGTCCGTGATCAGCATAATAGTGTGCACATTTCATATAAACTTCTTCCTCATTTTCTTCGTTCCGCTTTCGATGCACGTAGTGGCTCTGATCACTTTGATCATCAAAGAGATCAACAAGTGCTGGAAGAGGAGGACGGATCCTTTGAGCGAGGAGACAGCGTTTCGCATGAACATAGCGAGGATCTACATTTACAATTGGACTTTTTTCTTGACCATTTGCGTACTTATGAACGTGGTGGTCCCGGTGGTTCAGAGTTGGATAGGGTTCTTAGTCGGAGTGGTCTTCATGAATTCGCTCTTCGTGCTCATCTACCTGATCAGGGCGGATAAAAGGTTCAGGATAATCTTTTTGAATACGTTCAGGAGGGAGCAGGAGTACGACGTCGATGCGACCATCAGCTTTGCAGAAGACGACAACAGCATTAGGAATACACAATGAAACGAAGATTCTTACACTTCAAAGAGATTCTAGATTACATGCACATATCGACACTAGTACCTCAAATCTAATGCTCGCTGTTATTGTCGCTTTTTAAAATTGTTTTTTAATAAAAATATAATATTTTGTTAATCAATCTTAACTCAGATTCTTAAATACCCACTCGACACTTGTATTTTATAACATTAAACTTCAATCGTAAATCTTGACATCTATTTGACTAACTGATCAGGTTAGAAAATGGAAAATAATTGATAATAATTGACAATTTCAAGAAATGGTCAGGTCAGAAAAATAAACAAATAAAATTTGACAACTATGTCAAATTGGAAAACTGATGATATAATTGTCAAAATGGATTAAAGTTATAGTTAGGTTGGATTGAGCCGAAATATAAACAGATATACCAATTTACCTTCCCAATTAAATGTTGATCAAATTAGACAAAAATAATTTGACATAAAAATTTT